ATGTTGTTGTTGTTGTTGTTGTTGTTGTTGTTGTTGTTATTGTTATTATTATTTTTTTGCAATTACAATTACTACATTATTCAAATTATTATTATTATTATTATTATTATTATTATTTTATCATTATCATTATTATTGTCAAAGGTCTCAAAGCTCTATTTAAAACTTCGCTCCAATGAATCAAGTGAACATGTCAAACTTTTAAATGTTTGACCTTTCATCCTAGATAGGTAAGTGATCAATAATTGTTAAATTAAGGAATCTGAAAGGACACCAGACACCAGTCCTCGAAAGGGTAAACGCCGAAAGTCTATTATTTTAGCTCAAAATGACGAAACTTTTTTTTTATAGTAGAGGGTTTTACGGCACTCGCAACTGCATAAGATCATATGAGCGCCAGGCGAAACTTTGCAGGGCTACCCAAGTGGTAAGAATGCTTGATTTCAGCATTATATTCTGAATTGCCCTAACAGAATCGTAAACTTGGCACAACAAAAAGCGCTATAAAGACATTCTGAAAATTGTATCTGAAGGACATCAACATCACAAGCGTAACACGAGAGAGCGTAGCTCCTGAGAAGCTAGTTGGAGAGCAGTAATCACAGGGGCAGCAAATCCTGATAATATGAAGCTTCATGAGTTTAGAGGCCCTACACGTCTACATTCCAAACTGCCGGTTGAGAACGGAAAGGCTAGAAAAAAAGTTAATCCTGGAGGGAGAACCGGCAGTTTCAACATGGCTGAAGTCAAGAGAGAACCCCGGAGCTGCACACATCAACATGTGGAAATGAAGCTTCTAAATCAAATGCAAGCTTTTCTCTACAAGAATTTGCTTTTTCCCATAGCAAAAGCCAAAATATACTTTAATCTTTTTTTCTTCTGTTCCTCTGTTTAAAACATGTCGTGAAGTATCGTTGTGAAATCAGGTGCTCCTCGAAATAATGAAATCAAAGAATCTCGGCATTTTTATGGCAGTAGGGCAATTTTTTAAAGTGTAACTTTTACTGAAAAACGTTGAATAACGGCATAAAAAAAAATAATTCATGTTTCCAAGGACTCTGAGGCTTTGGAAATTACCAAACTTTGGCGGCCATTTTCTCATTAATTTTACCTCTGAAACAAGGTTCCCCCAATCTTCTTCAATCGCAAATATCTGGACTTCTATTCAATATAGAAGGGTAATATTTTCATCTAAAGCAAGACAAATGAACAAACTTTAATGTGATGCCAATATCTCCACTTGCTCAAGAACTGATCAGCGACTGATTCCACCACGTGCTGACACTTAATATGTGAGACAGCGTGGTGGAATCAGGTTATCGTCAAAATAATCAAAATGAAAAAAACTGAAATTTTTCGCAGGTTTGTGAATTTTTATCAATTTTTTAATATTTTTTTTGGCTAAACATCTTTCTTCCCCCATTAAAAAACTCATTTCTGTGGGGATTTTTCTGAAAAACGTTGACTAAAGGTGCAGAAAAAATAAATTTTCAATTACCACGGACTCTTAAGCTGAGGAAATAACTAATCTTTCGCAGCCATTTTCTCACTAATTTTACCTCTGAAAACTGGTGACCCCCACCTCCTTCATTCGCAAATATCTCAACTTGTATTCCAGATAAAAAGGGTATTTTTTTTCATCCAAATAAAGACAAGTGAACAAGCTTTAAGATGATATCAATAACTCTACATGCCCAAAAATTGACGAGAGCCTGATTCCACCACGATGCCTCACATATTCTCTTCTCTAGAGACATTGATTATCTTCAAACATTGACAGGCGAACTATTGTCAGCAAGATAGAAAGGAGGAAACAGACACAGAGGCACAGAG